GCAACATCTGCAGGTTGCAGGTGCAATGTTGTTGTTGTTGTTGCTGCTGCTGTTGTTGTTTTTATTCCTTTGAGAGCAGAACACCAACGCAAAGCTAACAAAAGAGCCAACGCGCTGCTTCGCTGCCTCGATAAATCTTTCAGCATTTGCCTAGATTGAAAGTCTGGCGTCTCTCTCGTGCGTATCTTTGTATCTCATAGATACACGCACTTACGTCTTCAGCAAACTATCATTAGCATCAGCAACAAGAAGTTTGCTTTGTTTTTCAATAACAACAACCCGCATGCCACTCCTCCACCCCCCCTCCTCACTCTCTCTCACTCTCTCGACTGGCTCATGCGTCGCTTGTAGGCGGCGTCTTCCACTTGGCTTCGCGGCTTGATTAAATGTTGCCAACGACAACGAACTTGAAGCTCAATCAGTTTTCTGTCTGCCAGTTCAAATATAAAAGAACGTCGCGACGCTACGCTCCGTCGCCATGCCCCCTGCCCACTGGCCCCTGGCTACAGAGCCCTGCCCCCTGTACCTGCGACCCACCCTGTGCCAGGCAACCACAATCGAGCTGCCATCATCATCATCATCATCATCATCAACGTCGTCGTCAACGTCTCAAGAATTTAAACACAAAAAAAAAAAGAACACGCAAATTTTGTGAGCGGAAGTGCTGCTAAAAATTGAGAATCAGCTTTGTTTTCGTCTCATCTGGCGCTGCCGCTGCCTGAGCGTTGCCATATCAACGCAAAACCCCGCGATGTCTGCTGAATTTTGGACTCAAACTTTCGGTGTACTTGACACAAGACTTGGCTACATTTTCATGAAATCTAATTAGTTTCACATTTTTTAAGTGCGCGCAATAAAATTGCAACTAGTTTGGATTTAACTCTTTGGGAGTTTCTGTTGTTGTGAATATATATGTTTGTATGTATATATACTGTATGAGTATGTGTTAGAGGCGTTTAGATGTAGAGCATTACCTTGCGCTAACTTAGCTTTAACTTTTTGGTTCACATTCTCATTATTTCCTTAAACATTGTTATTTTTATCAATTATTACACATTGTCATTGTCAATGTCAATGTCAATGTCAATGTCAATGTCAATGCCATTGTCATTGTCATTGTCATTGTCATTGTCATTGTCATTGTCATTGTCATTGTCATTGTCATTGTCATTGTCATTGTCATTGTCATTGTCATTGTCATTGTCATTGTCATTGTCATTGTCATTGTCATTGTCATTGTCATTGTCATTGTCATTGTCATTGTCATTGTCATTGTCATTGTCATTGTCATTGTCATTGTCATTGTCATTGTCATTGTCATTGTCATTGTCATTGTCATTGTCATTGTCATTGTCATTGTCATTGTCATTGTCATTGTCATTGTCATTGTCATTGTCATTGTCATTGTCATTGTCATTGTCATTGTCATTGTCATTGTCATTGTCATTGTCATTGTCATTGTCATTGTCATTGTCATTGTCATTGTCATTGTCATTGTCATTGTCATTGTCATTGTCATTGTCATTGTCATTGTCATTGTCATTGTCATTGTCATTGTCATTGTCATTGTCATTGTCATTGTCATTGTCATTGTCATTGTCATTGTCATTGTCATTGTCATTGTCATTGTCATTGTCATTGCTATTATTGTCCTGATCTTCATCATTACCATTTAATTATCATCCTCATTATTATTGCTAATTGAACAAATATTTCGAGCTATAATTATTGTATTAATTTACAATCCAACCGCTGACTCCACACATTCATTTGTCAATTATTTCAATGTTTTTCCTTTTGTCCATGAATTATCGTAAAAAGTTTTGTGTTACCACCGATTTGTTGCAACACAATCAATGGGTCAATAAATTTCACATGTGACTCGTATTTCAAGCTGCAATCGAAAAAACATTTAAGTAAATTGACAGCTTTTCTATCGACCCCCTACGTTCCCTCTCTCCCCACCTCTCTCTCTCTCTGTGTCCGTCTCCGTTTGTATCTCATGCTCTATCTGTCTTGCTCTAGCTGCGATGATAAACGACGCAATTGACATCGTGTTGAGCCACAACACAGGCCAAAAAGTTTTGTAATCGCGAACGCGCCACCAAATCGGTTACCAAATAGGTTCGAGTGGGTTGCGGAGAGTTGTGTGGGCCCCATAAAGATGGGGGTCTGACGTAAAGAAGGTGGGGGAGGAGTAGGAGGAGGGCCATTGATAAGGCAGGTGCAGCGAAGCGCTGGGAAATAATGAAAATGAAAGTCAACGTTGCCTGCGGCTGATGAAACTTTCAGTGTGAGAGAGAGAGAGAGAGAAAAGAGAAGTACGCAGTGTGCTAGAGAGAGACAGGGATGGAGATGGGGTCACCTATTTGGATTGCATTTGCTGGCAATTTGTGTTGCTTCTGCTGCTGTCGCCGTCGCCGTTGCCGTCGCCGTTGCCGTTGCGTGTTGTTTGTTGTTTGCTATTTGCGCCCGCGGCGAACGATTTCATTTGACTTTTGGTGCGCTCCCGACTCATTGTTTGCTCAGCGATTTGTGTAGATACAATTCGGTACATCGCATAGATAAACATGCACTCTGCCCGCCACGATGGCCAGGGAAGGAGGTGGGCAGACAGGGGGGGACCGACCGATGTGAGGGGGGGTCACTGGTCTAAAGACAAACAAATTACAAACAAATTGTCGTTGTCGATTGAGCCTTGCCATCTTTCATTTCCTTCTCCCTTCCCCCTTCTCCCTTCTCTCTCTCTCTCTCTCCCACTCTCAAAGCAAACTTTCGACTCACTGCTGTTATCGCCAGAGACTTGGCGACATTCATTCGCAGGTGGCAGCGACGTCAGCGGGTCACTGGCCAAACTGGACAAAGTCTGCACTGAGAGAAATGCGAAAAGCTAGTTTCTACAGATATGATCTGATATATTGTGTACCATTTGGCTAATAAAAAATATTTTGAATGGAATTTTTGATTTACATATTAATTACTATAGCCTGAACCCATTGAAAATGGAAGATCGGGGCATATAAGTTGCATTAATATGTATGTAACAGGTAGAAGGAGGCGTGGCAGCTCCCATAAGATATAAATATTCTTAATTAGGCAATGAGTTGAGATTTTTAAAAATCGATAACTATTTTTGTGTTATCGACTAAAAACCTCAGTTGTCAATTTTGCAAACAGATGGAAAAATTTATATTTGTAATTTTTTTTTTAAATATTTTTCACTGTGAAATGAATTTTGTATAGATTGAATATATCAATTCCTTAAAACAAATGTATTACATAAATATATTATAGTAAGCAATTCTCAAAGAAACAGAAACTCTCTTAGTCCAACACTGCCCACCTATATAACTGCTTAAATTTGATTTACCTCAAAATAAAGCACCCAGTGTTTTGGCTCAGTGTAATTTTCAGTTCGAAGTTCTGAGTTATCGACAATGCACAGGCGCTGATAAGGTAGACAACTTCGTCTTCCCACAACGTGTGTGAGAGTGTGTGACTGTAGGTGTGAGTGTGTATGTGTGTGTGTGTGGGTAAAAGTCGACCCCACATGCGGCTGTCTAGACCCGAGTTGAGTTGTGCGCAAGATACAGATACAATATCTAAATTGTGTATTGCCATTAAAACTAGCCAATGGCGTTTTGTACTTGCCACACAGTGTGTTGCATGCAACACATAAAGCTCGCTCTCCTAATAGCCCAAGTCTTACAAAATAAGCTCTCAGACAGCGATATATTCAGCTCTTTAGCTATTTTCTATTTATATTATTGCAAATTTTTGATTAGACCAAACAATATCTTATCTACAATCAAAGTGGTTCAGTATGTGCGGTTCGAAAGAGCCAACTTCAATTAAAATTTTCGCCTCATGACTTCGATAGATAGATAGACTTCAGTCAAAGCTGATAGTCTTATATATAGCTAGAGTTTTGGCTAGATCTTTATCTCTGAATTGAGTCAAATATACAATATTTTGGATTCCATTTTATTTTTAGCTTATTTTGTGTCTATGGGAAATTCAATAAGTGATTGTGATTTTCATCATAATATCAGGGTGGGTATGTGAATATAGATTCATAAATGTAAATCAAATCGAATATATAAATCATTAGATATACTTTTTTTTTTCCTATATACCAATAGGTGCATTGGTATATACGCATATATCTCGCATACATTATATTTTTCCCAATTTTCTGATATATCTCTGTTTCCTTAGTTTCATTAGCCCATAGATTCATAAATGTAAATCAAATCGAATATTTAAATCATTAGATATACAATTGTTTCTCTATATATATGCACCAATAAGTACATATATGTCTTATATATCATATATATTTTATAATTCGCTTGATGTTCAAATACATGTATGTTTCATTATTGTTATTTACATTTTCCAAAGTTTTCTATAAGCGACAGGTAACGTATATGATTTTCCATAGTCGGAAAAATGTAGCTAAATGTATATTCTCTGACTAGATCTCTGTTCTCAGCACATTAGGATGTAGGGGGAGTTAGGCTGCTCTTGAAGTTATGAGAGGCTTTTTAATTTTGATAGATCTACATATAGATATATCTGCTATATATGTTTTTACTTATTTCTATTTCTATTTCTTGTTTATAATCTGCGTAATCTAGGCATATGGCTAAACTAAATATAGTTTCTCTCAGACAATCTAATTTAGTTGGGAAACTACAAATCTACTTTCTATATAAACAAATCCCATTTTTCTGGCAAACTAAATTGAATGAATTCTAAATTTCCCGATTTTCCCATTTTTCTGGCAAACTAAATTGAATGAATTCTAAATTTCCCGATTTTCCCAAATACAATTTTTTTTAATTTTCACTTCGAGTGCAGTTGGCAAATTAAGAAGAAGAAGAAATTGTTGTTGTTTTTAATTTAAATTTTCTTATTTTTCATTTTGTTTTGGTAGCATCAAATTTTCACTTGGTAAGCGTTTTTATTTTTTATTTATTTTTTTTTTTTTTACTTACGTGAGTGTAGCAGAAAAAAACTTTTTCTTTATATGTTGCAAGATATGCAAATTTCTCTCGCTCTCTTTGTCACTCTCTGTCTCTGTCTCTATTTGAGTTAATTCTTTCGTTTACGATTTGAATTCTTAATTTGGGCACAGTTCGTTGACGTTTTGTTTGATTTATTCAAAATGCAGCCGCGTGCATAAATTTGCAGTGTTGCAGTTGCATTTTCATAGCGCTGGCGTTTCATAATAATAATAATGAAAATAAATGCATATATTATAAATATGTCTTTTAATTATTTTGAATATTATTGCGTTTGTGTTTCAATTAAAACAAATATGTTTTTCAATTACAGCTTTATCATCAGTTGTAGTTGTTGCTGCTGTTATTATTGTTGTTGTTGCTGTTGTTGTTGTTGCCGCTGGCATTTGCATAATGCACTCAACCGCTCACTCAATCATTCATACACTCATTCAAGCACTCATTCATTTAACAGCTCGCTCAAGCTGTTGTTATGTCCTCCCTCGTGCCCCCCAAGCCCCCATTTTTCCTCTCCCCCTTTTTCAGTTGTAAATACCACGAAATTCAGTCGAGCGCACAATGCAATACAAATTGAAAAAATTAAATTGAAAAAAAAAAATTAAAATGAAAAATATAAAAAAAAAAACTCTGAAGAAAAAATGAAGAAAAATAATGTAGAAAATATTGAAGAAATTTGTATTATCAGCTTTAGCTCTTGACACCCTGGGCGGAGTTGCACTTGGGTGGATCTGACTAAGCTAAGTTATTTGAAGTCTATAAAGATTTATATAAAGACAGAATCTATCATAAGATTCTACATAAAAATCCATAAAAATCAGTATATTCATCTATATAGAAAATAGATTAAGATCTATATATAAAATATATGTAATCTATAAAGGAGTATTTTATATCAAAATTTATTTATTTTATTTCAGAACTAAAATATATAAAAAATTTTTTTTAATGACTTGTTTTTTTTTTTTTTTTAATTATTTATTTATTTACTCTTTAAATTTCAAATTCTTGTTCAAATTTTTGTTATTGTTATTATTTATTTTTTGTTTACTTAGTAAATTTAAAAAGGATTACTACTTATTTAAAATGACATATTTTTGTAATTAAAAAAATAAATAAATAAATACAAATAAAAACATTTTCAAATTATTAATTTTTTTAAATTCCTTAATATTGTTTCATTTCACACAAATTAATATTAATAATTTCCTACATTTTCCGCCAAACATTAAAATTCTCAACAACTATTTACAGGGTATCTGCTGGTTGTGCCTCAGCCTAGATCTGTGCGGTAGTCTTGCGGTATTTTATGCTGCAAGCGCGCGCGTTTTGTTAGCGACTTTTTGCAGCGCCTTTTGCACTGGCATCGAAAGCAAGCGAAGCGCAGTCGACGCCGCCGCTGACGTCGCAGTTGGCGTCGCCACTAACTGCATTTGCTTATGACTTTGGCTGTTCTCTTCATTTTACAGTTAATAAACGTTAACCGCAAGTGGTCCGATGGGGCGCTGGCCCCTTAACGGTGCCTATCTCACTCTATCCATGTGTGTGTGTGTGTGTGAGTGCGTTGCAAGTGTCGAGAGATTCATCAAGAGTACTGTAGGACGGGGGGCGTATCGACGCCCTAATGTGTTGTCACATTTGTTGTAAAATTGATTCGCTAATGATTTTAGCTGACATTCAAATTACGAAAAGCCAAAAGGGAAAACATATGAGAACATATGGAAACTGAATAGAATATTTCTTTCACACTCACACACACTCGCACTCTCTTTGAATTGGTATTTATTTTTAGAAAGTTAATCACATGCTAAACACTTCGCATGGCCCATTGGGACATAGGGAAAATGAAACGATTCTCGAATCTTGTGGCACGCACTAAGCGAAACAACTTTCAGGTAGTTAACTTAAGACCTTTTTTTTTCGTCTTTCATTAATTGTCGTTCTTTCACTTTATGGGCGTGGCGCAGTTGTGCGTAAAAGAAAGAAGCTGAAGAAGTTAATTATATGTATATATATATATATTACAGAGTTCTTATTTTTCCCATATAGCTAATTAACTTATTAAGGCAAACGCCTATTGGGAATGCTTTCGTATTGGATTCAGATTGGATACATATATTCAAAAAATTACATTTAAATAGCTTTTATTTATTTTTTACAATTTCAGAATTGATTCAAATACATATTCAAATCTTTTATGTGCATATAAACATAACTCCAATTTAATTCATTCTAGTTCTAATCATTTCTAACAAGAAAACACATGGTCCAATCGGATTACACACGTAGCCAATTGGACAAAGGCTAGATTAGATTTATATTGTGCTGTAAATTAGCCAATATTATTAATATAGAGTAAATCTTTAATTATTTATCATAAACAAATGCTCTAACTCTAATACAAACATTTCCCATACAAATAGTTCCAGTTCAAACCATATCCAATAAGAGATCTAGCTAAATGCACAACAATTGGGTTCCACAAGTATGCCAATTGGACGATATACACTAAACCAATTGGACTATCACTAGCGCTCACGCAAAATAGCATCCACACACACACACACACCCAATTGCTCTGTTGATCTTACGATTTTCGCCATTCAAAGTCAGCAATTGCCGCAAATTTTAATTGATAAAAATAAAAAGCTGAACGAAAATTGACTAAAACTCTGTCTAATCTTGGGAATCTGGCATCTGGCGCTTATTGTGCCTATAGAAAACATAATATCTCTCTTTGACTGAGTCACAGTTTCGACTTGATTTGTTGGGGAGATACCGCCGAAGAGCTGCAAACGGGTTAACTATAACGTGACTCAGTGAGACTCGGCGTTGCCCCACCCCCTCGCCGGCCGCCCATCACTGATCCGCTTCACTGCGCCGCACTGCACACACATATCAACAACAACAACAACAGCAAAACTAGTTGTCGAGCACCAAAACGGGGGGGAACAAGAGAGCCAAAAAAAAAAAAAAAAAGACAAATGATTCCAGTTGGACATTTTTCAAAAGCAATTTAAAATGCTCAAATTCAAAGACATATGAAGTTTTATTTGCTGCAATCAATTTTGCATTTATTGCAAGAAAACCAAAACGAAAGAGAAACAAAAAGTAACACAAAGACACACACACACACACACACAAAAGGCACTGCAAACACACTTTCAATTCAGCGCTCGAAAACACAAACAAAACAAAATTCGGGCAGCGCTGCCAGCGGCATAAGCAAAGCGCAAAACGCAAATGCGTTGCCAGCAAAAGCAACAACAACCACCGAAAACAACAACAACAATAGCTGTTCTCGCTTCGCGTTCCCTTTTAAAGTTTTTTGTTTTAATTTTCATTTATTTATGTTTTATGTTTATTGAGTCTCTTTGACTGTTTCAAGTTAATTATTGTATCATAATATTATATAATATTTGATTGTTGTCAAACGAATTATAAAACTCCAAAATACAAAAAATAAAAAAAAATTAAAACAAAACAAAGCTTAAAACAAAAAAGAAAGGCAATTAAAATTTTTGCCAAACGCAGCGCCGCAATTTGTAACAATTTTTTCGTATTATTTGCCGTTTTTGTTTTCGTTTTTGTATGTGATTTTATTTTTAATTTGTTTGCTTTGCACACAAACGTTAATTTTGATCGGCATCGGCATCGCCAACACACGTACGCACACACTACAGTTACAACAAGAAGAATAACAACACAAAAACAAAAAAAATTATAGAAGACCAACCGCACGATGCGCTTACAAAACTTTCGTCCGTCGCCTGTGGAACGCAAAATACAACTGAGCTAGCCGAAGCCGGCTGAGGCCGGCCAACAGTGACTGCGGCTGCGGCAGTGGCAGAGGCAGAGGCAGCGACAGCGACAGCGAAGCTCGTGCGCTCGTACTCGTGCGCTGCCACCCGCTTACCTTAGTCTACAATGCGCACACTGGGCTCTCCGCTATTTGCTGTTGATTGAAGTTTTTGGTGGTAACAGATGGCATTACATTAGATTAAATTATACATTTTATATGTGTTTATAAATAATCTATCTGTGTGGTTGTTAGACGAGCAAACAATTTGAGTGTAATAAATGACGAATATGCTCTGCATATGCATGTAACTTATTGAGGATTACAATAAGTTGCAATTAAATGAGTTCTTGGGCAGTGTGCGCTTGTTGTTGTTGCTTCTTTTGATGCTGTGTGAGCGAACGACTGCGTGCGTTTGGGTTTGTGTGTGTGTGTGGAACGAGTTGCCCGTTGCCCGTTGCCCGTTGGCGTTCGTCGCCGTCGCTGTCGCAGTCGCTGCGTTGGCAGCTGCTGCGCTGCCCACATTGGAGTTAGAGTTGCTGCCGCTGCCGCTGCTGTCGCCAATGCTGCTGCTACTGCTGCATGCGAACAAATTGCGCAAATCGCATGCGTTTTCCAATAGCTGCAGATCGCTGGGCGTTGATTGCGTATGCGTGCCATATGCAGCAACTGCAACTGCAACTGCTATTTGCCACGCATTGCAAGTCGTGTGATCAAAATCAACAAATAGCAAACAACAAAAGCGTCTAATAACAAAACAACAAACAAAGCGTCCGCATTGTTTTTGGTCAACCGCATTGCAGACGCGCATTTCACGCGTGCGTTTTACAACACATGCAAGCAAAAATATTACAACAAAAATAAAAAGCAACAAAAACAAAAACTATTTAAAGACCCAGCGCACTGTGCAGAAGAAGCGAAGCTCTCGGCAGCCTAAAACAGACGGCAACATCGTTATCCCCCGCTTGCCCCTGGGCCAAAGTACGTATCTACATACGAAGACACACACACACACACGCTGTCAATGCATCTGCATTTATCTATGTATGCGTGTGGTCTTACTTACAAGTGTGTGCTCATTAAAGTCTTACACTGTCCACCAGCCGCTTGTAAATATTGAAAAACTAAAAATTTACATAAATGAGAAAATACTTTTCATAAAATTACAAGTCAACATATCGATAATGCTAATCTCATATACTTATAATATAATAATATATATTATATTATAAGCATATAATATATATTATATAATATATATTATATAATATAATAATATATATTATTTTCTCATTTTACTTTGCATCAGTCAATGCTCAATTTTAGCGATCACAAACTTTTGTTAGGCTGTGTAAAACGCGCCCAATTCTGCCGACGTCGCTGCTGTTGGCCAAAAAGCTTAGCGAAGCGTGCGAAGCAGCCGCAGCAGCAGCAGCAGACGCAACAGCAAGAGAGCAACGGCGTGTAGAGAGGGAGAGTGGGAGCTGTTGAAGATCGTTCGTTGCATGGCGCTGAAGGCGGCTGCCAAGGAAGTGGAACATGTGTGCGCTTGTCTGTATGTGTGTGTGTGCGTGTGTGTGAGAGTGTGTCTGCTAGTGTGCGTGTATTTAACATTGTCATGGCAAGTTGAACGTGGGAGAGCCCTTCGCCAAGCTGGTTTACAGTTTTGTTCTTGTTGCGGCCTTTGTTCTTGCCGTTGTTGTTGCTATTATTATTATTGTTGTTGTTGCTGCGGTGGCCTCGACCGATCAAGCAAGCAAGCGTTCGACCAGCTGTTGCTTTGTTTTGACTCGAGCAGCGCTGTCGACAAAAGCGACATAAATACGATAAAAGAGAGAGGGAGAGTGACAGTGAGAGAGCCTAAGCATGGAGAGCATAAGCATAGGAATCGCCTGCGTATTCAGACAGCTATTTAGCAGGCGACGCTGACAAATTGTCAGCAATTGGAGTGGGAATGCGAGTGTGGGAGTGTGCGAAAGGGAGAGGGCGAGGGCGAGGGACAGGTTGAGCGTCAGGTGAGCTAAGGCAGAAATAAATCAAAATTAATGCCACACAATTATTAATTAAAGTAATTAATGTGTTGGCCGCTTAGAAAGCTCCAAAATTGCCCGAATGCCATTATAATTCACAATTCTTGACCATTTTGGAAGTGCAAAGGGATTTCGTCTTTCATTACATATGCAAAGCTCGCCCCACACAAACACACACACACATGTGTATACATATATATGTTTAGCTGCGGGAGGGGGGCAGCCGTAAGACGACAACATGTGCTCACAATTGCATTTGCTGTTTCGCTTACACTACCCTCTGTTGCTCCCCTCTTCCCACTCACTATCCCTCTGTTCCTCTCTCGCTCTCATATATTACACAAATTGAAAAACTATTGACAAGGCTTTGCCACTGGCCGCTAACGGGTCCAGGCGGCATTATCACATGCGATAAATATTTATATGGAAATGTAATGACTGCCCCCACTCAGTCTCCCTCCCCTCTTCCCGCCACCCCCTCTCTCTCTCTCTCTCTCTCGCTCACTGCCTTGCTACGCTTTGTCTCGAACGTTGCGCAATTAATGTCACCACATCCTTTGGGCCTTATTAATGTCCTTGGGCCGCATGCCGTCTGGCCGGTGGGCGGCGGGCGGCGGATGGCGGACGGCGGACGGCGTTCGCTGGGTTTGGGGTTCGGCCCATTAATGTCGCCCCATCGCTCCGGTAAAAACAATTAATTTGCCCATAATGCAATTTATATCGGTTTCGGTTTGGGTTCCCCGGCATTTGAGGTCTGGGCCAACAACGGCTTTCTGGTCCATTTGGCTTACGCATATCCTGTGCCAACAGCCGACTCGGCCCTCGGTTTGCCACATAATGTGCATATTTCTGGTTGCTTTTTAAGGCCAAATGATTAATTATTAAAGCGCCAGCAATTCGCAATAAACAATAAACAGTTTTTGGCCAACGGAATGCTCGAAGCGTGCCAAAAAAAAAAAAAAAAAAAAACAGAGCATTGCAACAGACATTCCTGACAGATTTTGCTTGCTTAGACAAAGCTCTACGGAAGCTAAACAGCAGCTGGTTAGCTGCTCCAAAAATTATGTTGGCCAATTAATTATCCATTTTTCAATATGAGAGACAAGCTAGACAAGTGGCTGTCGAGCATGACTGACTGCATAATACTCGTTCCGAGAAAGAAAGCTCCAAAGAGAAGCATAGGCACCCTGAGTCTTCTATGTATCTATATGCTCTTTTTCGGAAGCAAGATTTTAGGGATAAACCAAGATTGTGCAATATATTAAAGACAGCTGTGCCGATATTTTTGAGCGGTGCTGAAAGGAGAGATTCTAGCTGAGTTGGAGGAAATATGGAGATATCACTTACTCCTGCAGTCCTCTCATATATCAGTACAAAATCTTACATATTCCGGAAAATAAAGTATGTATATAAGTATACATATTCATTTTATATGAAATCTTAATGTGATAGAACGGTTAAACTGGTTTCAGTTTCAGAGTTAGTAATCCAAAAACTTTGCAAGAAGTATAGCCAAATCCGAGCATTTTGTACTATAGGATAGGAAACTCTCCTTGAGTTGCCTCAAGAATTCTAAATTTCACATATGTTGTGTTGGCTACATTTCGTACCAATAGTTCCAACAAATTTTATTAAATACAGTTTGTACAGCTGCCCAAAAAGCCTAAAAGCATGCTATGAAAAGTGTTTTAAGAAATGAGATGAAGTCAGATTGAGCTAGAAATTAAGTTGTAAAGAGGAAAGGGGAAATTACATAACCAACTATTATAATATGAACAACTAAGATAATAAGTCAGAGAATATATTTTACCCTTTATATATCACTAAGATAAGTTATAGGATATATTTTATCTTTCGATAGATTGAAAATATATTTAATCTAATATTATTTTCTGTGACTAAAGATCTTTTAGGAGTTCCAAAAGAGATCTCTACAGTTATTCACTGTAATTTGCAATGTAAATTGTGGAAACATATGGAGCGAGGAACGAATATGTGAAGAGGAAAAGGCAAATGAGAATAATTAACCTAAAATTATTGTGAAAAACTAATTGGTAAGAGGATATATTTTATCCTTTGATAGATTAAGGATACATTTCCTATAAAGGAATATATTGTCTGTAAAAGATTCTGAGAGATGATAGAGAGCTCTCATAGTTTTTCCCTATTTTCATTTCTAGAACCTCAATGCGAATGGTGGAAAACAATTTGAACTAGATATTAAGATGTGAATTGGAAAATGACAATAATTAATGTTAGATAATTGTGAAAAACTGAGAAAATATTATTTAAGATTTATCAGCTGATAGATTAAAGATATATTGTCCATAAATGAACATCTTTTCTGTCGCTAAAGATCCATATCAACTGATGGAGAGCGCTCATAGTTTTTCCTTTCTAGGACCTAAATGCACATTGTGGAAAACATTTGAAAACTTGTTTGCTTTCCCAGTTTCCGTCTGCAATTGAGTTCTCTGTTTTTCTCTCGCTTTTTCTGGGAGCCACCCACGAATCAGATCGAATCGGAGACGTTGGCCAGCCAGACAAACGGTTTAGGGCAGCACACATTTTCCCATGCTGTAAACAAGCTGTCAAATTCGGAAAGGGGAGGGGGGATAGACTAACCAGAGAAATGTTCTGCTGCGGCTGCACTCATATGGCATAAAGTTGTTCGAAGATATTCAGCTGGTTGTCAGTCGCCTTCAAGAGGACGACAAAAGCACGCAATACAATTCGAGTGAAACCAAAATACAAAAAGATACAGATACAGATACAGATATAGATACAGATATAGATAGAGATTCAGATACAGCTACAGTTATAGCTGGAAAAAACTTAGTACTTACGACTGCTGAAACGCACGGAAATCAAAGACATACGAGACTCACCTGCAAAAGAGGAAGCAAAAGAAATGACATTAATTAAATTTGTTGCAATTGGCGCTTTAACTAGAGAGGGAAAAAATAACATTAAAGAAAATAAAATAATTAAAAACTTT